TGCGGTGTCCACAAGGATGTTATCATATTTAGTTTGGTCCAGAGAATCTAGTTGTTGTTGTTTTTTGCTGACTGCGTTGAATGACACAGTAACATCTAACTATTGTCCTTGTGAAATATTTGGCACATTTTGTTACAGCCAATATTTAATTTGGATAGATCAGCTCTCAGAAAAACAGCAACATCTATTTATCTAGCAGAGACTATGCAAGGAGCCTTTGAAACGGGGCTGGATAATAGCAAGTTGAATTTGAAGCTTTCAGATGCGGAAGAAATTGAGCAACTATACCTCTGGCAGAATGGCCTATTTCTCGAGGAATTCCAACAACCAGGTTGCCATCCATCGGTTTATCTATAGAGCATGGTGTAGTGATTAAGAGTGGCGGACTCTGATCTGGAAAGCTCCATTTGATTCCCCACTCCTCCTCCACATGCAGTCTGCTGGATGACCTTGGGCTAGTTACACTTCTCTCAGAACTCTCTCAGTCACACCTACTTTACAAGGGCCCTATGGTGGGGAGAGGAAGGGAAGGAGATTGTAAACGCTTTGAGACTCCTTAGGGTGGAGAAAAGTAGAGTATAAAAGCCAGCTCTTCTTCTTCATAAGCTGGCATGTCATTTTTACTCAAAAAAGCCTGGCCCCAATTTCTTCTGCTTTAAGAAAGCATGCAGTGAAGACATGATGTAGATTAAACATAGCTGCAGTTAGGACACTGTATAGGATATTGTCTGTAATGCCATCACACTCAATAATACTGGGGACTTTCCATGGTACCGTATCAACAGGTGACTGCAGCCAATATTTGTGACTGCAGCCGTTATCCTATAGGTTTCCCCAGCCAAACTGCCATGGTGCAGTACAGGTTCAGGGACAGTCCTAATACAAGCCATATAAACTATTCTCTAACTTCCCCTTCAGTTCTCTTCATTATGGCTGATTTCGCACTAGAGCTGCCTCGATGTTGCACCACCGTTTGCCCCGATACTATTGGTCAATTTCACACCCGAAGCTGCGGGGCTGCATTTTGACTCGCGGCTTCACCCGATTTCCCCCGCAGTTTCGTGATCCTGTTTTTTGAGGATCACGAAACTGCAGAGGAAATGGGGCAAAGCCGCGGGTCAAATGCAGCCCCGCCACTTCGGGTGTGAAACTGACCAATAGTATCGGGGCAAACGGCGGCGCAACATCGAGGCAGCTCTAGTGCGGAATCAGCCCCTGTATGTAACGTGTTTCATTACTTAGCAATGTAAGTGGTATTTTACCACGTGATGTGGTATTTTACCACTTTTTGTTAGAGCCCTGAGAGCAGGAACGATATGGCACAGAACTACACCTTCTGCTTTGTAGTCCGTCTTGTCAACAGACTAGCAATGATCCTCCAACTCTTATCACCTAGTTCTTACAATTTTTCCATCCTGTTTCCGCCTTGTGCCTCTAAGCCAAGACACTCCCTTTCAAAAATAGAGAGATAAAGCCCCCCTTTCATCACTTCTTCACTTTCTGCCTGGCAAGTGGCAGACTTTCAGCAGAGAGGTTCATACCACAGAATGGGGAGAAGAGCAGACTTTAACACTGGAAGACCTCTATCACTCCCATTAGTAAAGTGAGTTTCCTACATGGGAACATAGCCAACACTGAAGCAGGCCAGTGGAACTAAAATAGCAGAAGGGGAACCAAGATATGCAGGAAGATCATTCTTTGAAATGAAAAAGGACCTACAGCTCCCACCAGATCTTCAAAACTGGCAGGCCAGAATGTTCTGTGTATGTGCTCTCTTCATGCTAATTCTGAGCACTGGCTCTCAGCCGGCTAGACTCTGAGGTAACCCGACATCCTTAAAGGACCATTTCAGGACCCACTAGGGAGAGGTGAAAGAAAATGTTTTTGAGGTGTCTGAACCCACTTGCCCATCCACATGCAGGCTTCAGGGCCTAAGAGGCAGGAATGAGCTGCCCTGTGTTCCCTTCCACTACTGAAATCAGTTACAGTTGCCACTGCAGCCTCCATTCTTGAACAAGGCCCTTCTGTCTGGAACAGAGAAATAAGTCTGAACAACAGCTATCAGTCGAGGTAGCTTGATGAAGAAGAGCGGCTCTGATTGCTGCAGCCAGGAGCCTTGAAAGCCACATATTTACACTTAAGTGTGATTAAATTCCCTCTCTTGGATGCACACCTCAATGTGGTGAGGGGGTCTGTGTGAGTCAGTGAAGTTGAGAACAGTACCATAAGGAGGAATCACTCAAGGCAGAAAAAGGTTGCAGCTGAGACACCACACTAAGATGCAGCCACTCCCTTCAGGGATGAACAGCCACAGCAGCATAAGAGAACAGACACTTCCAATGGTAATGGGGGCAGAGGAATTCTTGAAGGGTACCTACTGGACAGCCGCTGTAGTGGAAGGTGACAGTGGTGAAGGATCTATCATAGGCCTATTAGGCATGGGTGCTTTGCCTTGCTTTCACTGTGCATGCCTGTTGGGCTTTCTTTTTTGTTCTGCATTGATTTACCTCCCTTCAGCATTCAGTTTGCTTTCCGGTTGCTGTTTCCCCAGGTATTCTGAGAGTGGTTTTGTGCCGGTTTTCCCCTTGCTTCTCTTCCAAGCTTAAGTTAATTCAAAAGCATAGAGATTCCGTCGGATAATTCCCTGCCCTTTTCCCTCCCATCAAAAGCCACTGCATTGCCCACACTGAGGTCATTCCTCCCACTCTGCACCTTCATCAGTGTACAAAATGAAAGGGGGGGGGATTGTCAGCATGGAATAAAATTGACATGAGATGGAAAGAGACAGACACTGGGATGGTAAGCCTAAAACTTTGAAAACATCTTCCCCTTTCATGCTTTAGTGAACGAAGTTTTAAGGGGGCATTTTGGCAGTCTCTGGAAGCCTAACATTAAAATGGCAGTCTTGCTGCTGGATGGGCTGGCCCAGTGCTCCCAGGACTTCGGTGCATGCGTTTCATCCATGAGCACAGAGCACACAGCAGCATGCCAGACTTCCTTCTTGCAATGCCCAGACTCCCCTGCGCTCCTGGCTGCAAGAGCTCTGCCCCTGCTTGGCTGCTAAAATGCAGTTCACAATTTAACAATGATCTGTCATGATTCAAGCAAGGGAGATCTACATATGGATCCCCCTTAAAAACTATAGGTGCAAAGCAGCATGTTGTATGTGTGTATAGAAACCCTACGTCAGGTATTTGGCAATGGGGACCTGAGCAGAGGGGTCAAATGATCAGCTGTTGTGGAGAACATTCTTTCTTAAATTAAACTGCAAAGGGCAAGTACAGTACTGTTGAGTGAAAAACTTCCCCAGAGCGGCACCTAGGGATGCCAGCCTCAAGGTGGGACCAGGAGATCTTTGGAATCACACCTCATCTCCAGAATACAGAGATCAGTCCACCCTGAAGAAAATGGATGCTTTGGAGAAGGAGGAGGAGGAGGAAGAAGAGTTGGTTTTTATACCCTGCCCTTCACTACCTGTAGGAGTCTTAGAGTGGCTTACAATCACCTTCCTTTATTCTCCCCACAACAGACACCCTGTGAGGTAGGTGGGACAGAGAGTTCTGAGAGAACTGTGACTGACCCAAGGTCAGTCAACTGGCTTCATGTGGAGGAGTGGTGAATCAAACCCAGTTCTCCAGATTAGATTCCACTGCTCTTAACCACTACACCACTCTATGGCATTCAACCCCACTGAGGTTCTGTCCTCTCCAAGCTCTATCCAGAATCTCCAGGAGTTTCCCAGTTTGGATCTGGCAACCCTATCCCCCTGCCGCCAGGGGGCCTTGGCAACCCTAGTGGCACCTGTGTTTAAGATGCAAAACAGAGTGAAAGCCATTTTATTTCACCACAATGGAAATAACTGGCAATTTTTAATTAACTTGGTAATCAGTCTTTCTTTACTGAAAGATCATCTCCGTGATCAATAGGTCAGGAGAGCTGCAAAAAGAAAAAAGTATATAGAAGTCTTATTGAAGTAATGGTATGATATATCTATGAGTAGTTTGCTAGCCCAGGGTATCAAATTACTGGTGAGAGTTCTCCCAGTCCCCCCCCCATGCCTAAAGTGAGGATTAAGCAAATAGTAGCATGCTTCAAAACTTCAGTGAGAGGAGTCTTAATTTCATGCACATTTTTATTGAGTAGTAATATAAAATGCTTTTTTTCATTGTTACAAGTGCATGCTTTGATTGCCAACATTTCAGAAGTCAAATTACAAAGGCAAGGCTGTAGGCTGTAGTGAATTACTTGGGCACTTATACAATTGTTAAAAAATATCAGTGGACTGCTTTGTTTGTTTTTTTCCTCTTCCTTTAAGAATGAACCAGTTGTAACCCGTAACTGATATACAAAGGGAAAAAAGTGAAAAAATTACACGTTTTTGTGGCACATGACGGAACGTAACAAAATGACTAAACCATCATGACATTAACAGTTATCATGCATTTAGTTTCACATGTAACTACAAACTTATTTAAATTTCACAAGGTTTGCTAAACATGCTAACCATCCATATGTGCACTGACAAGCTTATATTAAAAACTTTTAAGAATACTCTCCCCCTTAGATTTTTCAAAGCTTTTTTTGATTACAAAATTTCAAAGGCATTAGCATTTTTTCTTTTTAGAGAATATAAAGTACGCCAGTATACATACATTTCCAGTATAAGTCAGACCACTAAGCGCATTACAGTCCCATACAGGCCTATACAGCCAATTTTTTTCTTAAAAAACATGCATAGGCAGATTTTTACAGAATATAGATGCTTTCACTGCACTTAATATGGTGTCTTGTTCACTATACTTAAAAATGCACCACTCATAAATATTTAAATTCAGCAAGCCACAACCAAGACTTGATTTACCAAAAAAAAAACCTAAATATAAACAGCAAAAAAGAAAAAAAAAGTATCGTTATTCCAGTTTTGTTTTTAAAAACTTAAAAGAAAAGGATTTCTCACTGCCAAATTAGTTAAGGTAAATGTTATATTTAAAGAAGGGCATTCAAGCACACTAAAGAAACCTGAGGTAAGCATAATCTGTACAAAATTAAATTGTCTTTTTTTGGCATTTTTAACAAATTTGCAACATTCTTTAATTTTTAAGAGTGCCTAATTTTTTTAAGATAGCCGTCGTCTGACAAGAGTAGCAAAACATTATCAATAAATAGTCTCCTTATTTAGTTTGTACATCACTTTGTTAAAAATGTTTGTTGTTGTCCATGTTTAGTGCTGCAACTGTAAACGTACAATAGTCAGTAAGAAATCAGACAAAGTTGTCATGTCCAGTAACATAATAGAAGGCCTTTCAGTTAACATATCTAGAAGTTTCCAATGCAGTAGGAAAACATGTTCATTCCCCTAACTTTGCAATATATACCAGCATTAGCTTTCATTTAGTTGTCTACAAGCATTTAAAGGCATATCCAAAGGAGGTGTTTAACCCCCACCCCCCACCCACCAAAATAAAGTTTACTATCTCTTCATAGATGATGATATTGTAAACTGAATCCAACACCTGGCCCCCAGAGCAAGTAAGCTATCATCAGAGGCAAGAACATCCAACTGCTGATGAGCAGCAATCCCATCATGCCCTGCAGCTCAAAAACAAAAACAAAAAAAATATTTCACAACTCAGAAACGGTCACTGAATATTGCTGCTATTACTGCCATTACTGTCGGTGCCATTAGTCTCTGAGGAGATTGCCTTGTTGATGGAGTTAAGGTTGGCGTCCGATGGCATGGCATCCCTGCGTGGAGGCATCCTCTCATTAATCCGATCCAAGCCTTTGGCTTCTTCGAAGCTCGTGATCTTATGCTGTGGTGAGAATCCTTTGATAGCTAAACAGAGGATTGGGGGGGAAACAAACAACAAAAACAAAAAATGAAAGGAAAGTCAGGAGAGGCAAAGGGCAGTCATTTTATCAGTTCTACTGAACAGTCAACTGAGTGAGAAATTCCTTCACGGTGAAGACAATAAAATGGCAATGCAAGTTAAGCTTCTGGATGTATTTGGAAACAGCTAGAAAGTAAACAGCCAATGTCTCTTGAAAAGATTAACATGCTTCCCAACAAAACTCAGTTCTTACATTTTATTCTGCAGCTTATTAATCCATAACTAGCAGTAAAGCCCGTTGTGGAAATAAATACAACGGGATCTAGAAAGAGGCTCTGGGGGAGTGCTCTGGCTTTGGGCAAACAGTGTCATTTTGCTGTGGTGACCTCAGCAGGGTATAATGGCAGAGTCCACTGTTTTCTCCAGAGGAACTGATCTCTGCTCCCTGAAGAGCAGTTGTAATTTTGAGTGATCTGTAGCCCTCACCTGGAAATTGGCAACAATTGTTACCCAGGACGAAATGGCTGGTTTGGAGAGTGGCGTCTATGGCATTCTACCTGTCTGAGGTCCCACCCCTCC